TAAGTCGCCATATATGACTCGTGAAACTGAGGAGAAGACCACTTATCGCCATTCATCTATGAGAACATCAACCGCGATGCTGAGAACTCGTCGCTACCCATATCCGACTACCCCTCGTAATATCTAACTTGGTGGTAATTTTGTCATCATATTACTCGATAATCGCTCTCTTCATATTGTGATCCTTGAACCATCAAATTACTGCAGCCTTAATCATTCTATCCAATCATAACGGGAGTTGACATACGCTAAAATCAGTTTTCTGCTTGAACCATCCCAAATCAAAGCCTTCTTGTTTCAACAGCTGAAAATCTGCGGCATAAGCGGTTTATTCGCTTTTTTCATCTGTCCAATAGTTTTGATAAATATTTCAAACACACTCTCTGATACGTCCAGAACCTGTTCATCACCCATCAGAAACATTTGTAAGCTATTTTTCGAAAGAAAAATTAACACCATTTAATGATAATCTGTAAGAACAATTCCATAGCAAGAGCCGTTTCTCAGACATATTCGATATAGTCATTTCAATGTCATTTCCAAATATTTTCAACCCTTAACGGCCCATTCTACCCACATATTTAATTTGTAAAAGTATTCTTCCATAACAACAACAAGAATTTATACATTTTCAAATGATTTACATTGTCTTTACTCTATACGAACCCAGATTAATCGTCAATAAAAAGTTGATTGCATTTAATTCCGATTGATTCGTTTCACTGCTTAACTATCAACGTCAGCAGATCAATGTTTTCCTCCACTTCGCAATACACCTATTTGATTCGCATGGTGGTGGATTTAGAACAGCCTATCCGACATTCATCAGAGTGTGATCTTATATTAGCGGATGTTCCGTAAATGTCATATTTCATTCCAAACTGTTAATGATCGCAACTTCAGCGGGTTTATAACTGAACACCTCAAGCATTTTTCATCACATTTCCAAAGATTTTGTGTATCCTTCAAATGTTACTGCATGAAATGGAACAGTAATCCAATTAGTGCATCACATCTCTACTTGAGACCGGCTCACTTCCCTGATTACGATACCGAAAAAGCTACTACTGGCATGTCACCACCTTCAATCCAGCAACAGTCTGGAAAACGACGACCTCATCAACAAATACACCAACTACTGCATGGAGAACGTCTAAATCACCACCACCGTAGCAGTCTGAATTCTTGTTTCCCTACCATGTCGAGTATCAACCCTAACTAATCGCAATTTTTTTAATAAGAAGTTGTTCTCATCGACGAACCATAATAAGACTGATTTTGAAAAACTTTTAACTCCTTCACTATTATCTAATTGCGTATCGAAGCAATGCATTCATTTATCATTTTCTGTCATTACTCACATTCGTTCTAATAAAAAATTTCCCATCAGCACAATAAGTTTCCTCTCTGTTTATCCGATGGCATTCAGTGCATCATGAATGCAGCGAAATGTCCAACTATGACCGCAAAACTGAGGAACACTTTATTCTCCAAGTCAAATAGGCAGCTGACAGTCTTCATCCATATAGATAATGCCCCTAACTGATCAAATGAAAGACAGGATCACTCATCCTCTTCAGCTCACAGTATCTGCTTACAAAAAAAACAAGCATCCTAACCAGTTCTGATCGTCGGGAACTGAGCAAATTTTTTTTTCTTGCGGCAGAGAATTTTGTTCCATGTATAATGAAGATTTATCGAATGTTATCTCGCACAATATACAGTTCAAAAACAATGCAAATGTTGGGAGATAACTTCAGAGCGATTCTCATAAGCCTGTTCGATGAACATTATTAGCTGAACTGATTGGTTGAGATGTTACGTTCACACATGGCTTCGCTTCTGTCGGGAATGGATACTGCTTCCAGCATTCCACAAGTTGCTTATCGCACTCGCAAATCACCCACTGGCACATTGCTTGATTCGCTGAAATTTATCCGCATTTATCCTTTATAATATAAGCATCTGTAATATAATATAAGCACTCTATAATATAAGCATCTGCCGAAAAATCTATTCTGTTCGTATCCAAAGAGTTTGCTCAAAACAGTGCTACGATTGATAATATAAAAGGATCATCATGTATATCTCTAATGTAAGCAATCATCCTGCAGTAAATTTTTCCCAAAGAAGCCACTTCCCACAGCACAACATCTTGAACACTGCTATTTGAATGATCTCAACGTCAGCTTATTAGCCTATCACGAAATTCCCCTCATGACACTTCGGTATTTGCGATACAATGTTGGCAAGCATCCGAGTGGTTCATTGACGAATTGTAAGAGCAAATGAGAATTCTTTGGCAGTGAAGAAAATTCTCGCTCAGTGGTACGTGAATTGAGCTCAGTGAAATCAATTGGAGGATGATGGTGGCAAACTCAAGCCGAATGTGAATAAATATGACTTAGGTGAAGTAAACTGACCGAATTGAATCAGTTGTATTGTCTAGCTAAAAATTTCCTATAAACTGCTTCATGAAGTTGCATTGGTAGTTAGGTGGGCACCGTAGTTATCAAAAAGGTTATAAGACATAGGCATTAGTGAAATGCTACAAACCTATGCCACAGTTATGGAACTTCAGAAAACGGATATGAACTCGGAAATCTGCTTCGGAATCAACAAGGAAAAACAGGACGCAAAATAAAGCTTATTTGAACACAGCAATTCAGGTTCATGACCGTTTCGGTGAGTAGACGGTAGATTTGAGAATGTTCAATACTTACAACCACAGGTGACTGAACGGTTAGCACAATTCCAATCGTATCGATAAAAGTATTCATCGAAAGACCCGCACTCATGCTCTCTCACTGCACAATCATAGCAAGCATCGTGTTGAGCGCAACACCTGAAATACAACTAGTAAGAAAGTATTTATGACTCTATTCGGTTAATCATATAAATTCAAATGATTTCATGGACAGCCACCACATCAAAGCCCAGAAAATATGTGACCTCTTGATTTCGTCGCTTTTCATTAAGATGTACTGTGTGGGAAATACATGGTGAAGATTAAGCCAACATCAACCCCCTCCGTCCCCCTCCTTCCCAATGAGAACGAATACACTGCAATGACCAATTTTCTCGAGTGCTGTGATTTCTAAGGTCCCATTTCGGAAGTGCATGTCCTCTGATCCATTAA